CTTCAACCAGGACGTGATTGAGGCATGCAAGTGAGCGCAGCGAACGAGCTCCAACCTAAAGGTAAGTGAGCGTAGCGAACGAGCTCCAACCTAAAGGTGAGCGCAGCGAACGAACTTCAACCAGGACGTGATTGAGCCATGCGAACGAGATCATCTTGAAAATACTGTCATTAATAACCATGAATGAAAATAACCATTAATAATTAAGCTAGCATAACCTAGCATTAATATAAGAGCAATAATAAAGAATCGGTTATCCTTTGTACTATATGTGTTTCATTAGTTGTTGTACGTATTTTAATTTAGTTATAAGCACTTTATATACAATAAGACAATTAAACGTTACGGTAATTAAATTATAAATAGTCAAAGGCAAGACAACGTCTGCCGGGTTCAGCTGGTCTATATAAATAAAAATTACAGTTTTGTCTTTACATTGCTAAGAATCATGCAGTTTTTGGTCATTTTTATGTTTCATAGCCTAAGAAAGCCGAAACGAGTCTTATCTCAATTTCTGCCTGTATGTCTGTTTGTCTGTTTGTTTGTCCATTCTGTGACTCCGTCTGTAACGCCAAAATGTCATTTTACGCGGCCTACTCCTAGAAAACTAGAGTACCGATCAAGGTTCTAATAATTTTTCTGTATTTACTGGATTGGTGAGAGTGTCTTTGGCTATAAAAACAAAAACATGGTCTCGCTTCTTTGAAAACAAAATAACAAACCACCAAAAACCCAATTTTGTTTGATTTTTGTCAAATTTTCTCCCAATGTTTACTATTACATTTGATGAAATATTGATCAGCTGTTTGGATTAGTTCTCACTTCTAGTTGTCACTGATATGTTTACATTCAAATTTGTTTACAAATACCGCAACCATTTCCGATCAAGTTTTGTCAGCACATCCAAACCAAGAGAGATTAAAAACGTTGTGCCTTACTTAACCGCTTTAATTAATCGCAAGTGCAACGATTGTTCTTGAGTTTTGATAACCGGGGAAAATACTGTGAATCAGTGTTGTATTAGTGCAAGCAAACTTACATTAACAGAATAAATTACGTTCATCAACCACCTACACAGACTTAACAAGCAATAAACACCAGGAATCCAATTCTGTTTTCACTAAAGATATCGCAAAAGAAATTACAAACCAAGACGCAACTTCAACTAATCTTAAATCAAACATGCCGAGGCAAAGGCTTTAAATTTTAGCTGATAGTCATGGAAAAAATTTAAGTTCATTAATAGAACCAATAACAAAAATGACAATGTTTGTTCATATGTAAGGCCTGGGCCAAAGTTTGATAGAGTCACAGAAGAAATAAAAAGTTTTAGCAAAGATTTGGGTAAAGAGGATTACCTTTTAGTACTAGCAGGAACTATCAAAATAGAATCCACCGGGATAAAACGACTCACTGAAGATGTGAAAAAACTTATTAACAAAGAGCACACTAATCTAATTATTGCGGCCAAACCAATGAGACATGACAATCTTAACCTAGACTATAAACGTGTAAACCTACATTTATTTGGACGAGTTCGTGAACCAGCATGATCGGACAAATAAGCTCAAAAAAACAAATAATTTAGTATATTGAAGCTTTGTTGTATGTTTAACGGTTACAGGAAAAATCCCAAAAAAGTGTAGATTTAAAATTACCTAGCCTACTATGTTATTCTCATGGAGAATAAATAAACTGTTGTAGCTTGCTTGCCTATGGACATATTTTAATGACATTTTTTGTTTACTTCATACTAAGCTATCAATATTTCAATAAAAAAACCCCTATTTCCTTCTCTGTAGCAGCAAACCTAAGTACTGTCTGGCTAGATTAATGGCACATCTTAATCATAACAAACTCTTAACTGACAGCCAACATGGCTTTCGGAAGAATAAATCTACATCCTCAGCTATAACAGCACTAATTGAGTACGTCCTAGACCAGATAGAAAACGAACAATACATTTCCGCCATCTTCCTTGATTACAGTAAAGCTTTTGACTGCCTGGGCCACGACCTGATCTGCAAGAAACTCGAAAGACTCGGTATAAGAAACTCTGCGCTAGAATGGTTCAAAAGCTACCTAACGGGACGTTCACAAGTTGTGGAACTGAAAAACTCATCAAATGAAGTCACAGAAAGTTTCAAATCTTCAAAAAGCAAGCAGACGAGAGGAGTTCCACAAGGCTCTGTATTAGGCCCGATTCTATTCATCTTATTGACTAATGACTTCCCCAAACAAATTGAGAGTGAAAATGCTGTTGCAATCATGTATGCAGATGACACAACCATTTTGATCAAGGACAACACAGCCCAAAACCTTTACCTTAATTCAAAATCGATCCTAAATAAAGCTATCCTCTACTCAAAGAACAATGACTTAGCAATAAACCCCACAAAAACTACAACTCTGAATTTCAGTAAGAAAAAAGACATAGTCCCTCAATTAGAGGATGTAACAATAGAAAACCACACAAAATTTCTCGGTGTTATCCTTGATAACAAACTAACATGGAAAGAGCACATCAACCACTTAAGCAAAAAAATCAGTACTGGAATATATGTCGTCAGAAGAATAAACTACATAGGCGGACTCTCCGTGGCCAAAACAGCTTACTTCGCACTGGTAGAGTCGCATCTTAGATATGGCTTGACAGTGTGGGGAGGAACTTCAACAAAAAATATGAATCGAATTCTTGTCCTTCAAAAGAAAGCCATAAGAGCCCTCGCCAACCTTGTCCCACCACAGACTTGCAGACTAGCATTCGCAAACCTAGGAATCCTCACAGTGGTGTCTCTCTACATACTTGAATCTGTAAAGTATGTGAATGAAATAAACCCCCCAAGAAACCAAGACCTGCACCACTACAACACCCGTCATGGCTCCAAATTTGTACTACCAGTTCACCGAACAACTCTTTGGGAGAAAAAACCTTCCTACACCGGCTGCAAGCTGAGGAACCATCTACCTGACTACCTGAGAGACCTGACTGGCAACAGGCTACACCAGGAGTTGAAGAAGTGGCTAATCGCAAGACCCTTCTACTCAATAAAGGAATTTTATGAAAATTAACATGTACAATTCACTATTGTATTGACACTATTGTAATTCTTGACGAATTAACAATAAAGAATATTGTATTGTATTGTATTGTATTGTATTGTACTCATCAAAATTAGCGATATTTAAATAGGAAATAAATCTGAAAATTTTAAGGGAATAATTTAGTGGAATTCCAGCCAGGTAGATGGAAACTCGCTTAGTCTGCAGGTTTGCTGCGGCGGGGGTATTTTAACATTAGTAGCTCCTAAGTAGTAAGTAGGTGCATGCATACTACATGCATAATATTTGCTGCTACAGGGAAGAAAATCAAACCTAAGTACTCATCAAAATTAACAATATTTAAATAGGAAATAAATCTGAAAGTTTTAAGGAAATAATTTAGTGGAATTCCAGCCAGGTAGATGGACATTCGCTTAGTTTGCAGGTTTTCTGCGGCGGGGTATTTTAGCATTAGTAGCACCTAAGTAGTACGTAGCATTGGTTACTCCTTATTCATTAAATAGCATACTATTATTAAGCTTGTACAATGGATCTCAAGCCACAACAAAAACAAGTTAAATGAATCTTAACTTTAAATGTTCAACACTCATCCAAAAATTATCATTAGTCCTGGATTGATTGATGAGTCAAAGGCTCAAATTATATTAGAAAGGGTTAGGTACACACTTTATTCTAATTCTAATGCATGTAAAAAAAGGTGTATCAGTGCATTCAAAATCAGGGACCTTTTCCATTAAATGACTACAACTATAGCCTAAATTTTGATTTTAACAATACACGATCTCTTATTATAACTTATATATTAACCCTGTTAACACTATAAGCCTAATACATGTTTTCTGTTATACAACCACTTAGGTACCTAGGCTATAGTTGTTCTGACCGAACAAAAATGTTCTAAAAATATAGCACAAGGGTGTTTGTAGGCCTACATAACATTTTTTTTACAACCAAAGATTGTGTTTTACTAAAGGTTAAACAGCTTTCTGCCAAAAAGTTCAATGAAGTTTCTGTTTTATGAAACAAAAGTTGTATGTAACATGTTTGACATGGTGGCTTTACACGTAGGCTTAAGTACTAAGACATTCCATCCCCATGTTAAAGTTGTAGCCAGGTTTTTAATCAAAAATTTGTCTTATTTGATGTGAGCCACCTACAGATTTCGCTGATCTAAATTACTGATTTCTGCCGATTACACGATGGTTTTCACTAAGTTAAACTGATGGAATGACTTATTATGAGCTAAAGCAACTGTTGTGACCCAGCAACTATGTCAGTAACAAAAAATAAGGTACAAAAATAGAGTTTTAGATACTAGCGCAATCTGTGACTGGCTCACACAACTACGTTCTTTTTTAGTAAAAAATTGGCTACAGCTGATCCATATAGATGGGATGTCTTCGTACTACCCAGGAATTGTTTTAGAGAGTGATTTTTAAAATTATTTTGTCTGGATTTGATAGGTAAATCTGGCTTATCAAACTGTACTGATGAGAGGCACGCCTGGTGGTCAAACAAGTAGTAGTGCTCTGCTACAAGTAAATTAAAAAAATATTTTTTGGCTGTTGCTAGTGAATGCAAAACTAAGGAACGGGCCATGCAAGTCTTGCAACAAATGGGTTTATTGCAAAATGGTGTGTTTTTTCCCGTTAAATTTCATTGAATATAACATATAACTTACAGGTTGTGTTTATGTTTAAACCTTTCAACTTGAGTTTAGTAAAACATTGTTTTAGGTTAAGATTATGTCTTGGTTCTAGCCTGACCTAACTCTAAACCGGATTGATTTCAATCAAACGGAAAAGTTCCAAAACAAGTTTAAAGGTCAAAGTTGTCAGTAGGCCTATATTGTACAGCAACAATTGCACAGAGTTTTAAATCACTCAAAAACAACCAACCAACTCAGAAACTACCAAATCTGTAAACTATCTTCTTACCTGGGTTTTTCTTATTGGTGATCTGTCTGTTTTTTTAATAAATGTTGGCAAGATTGGAAGAAACTCAGCTAAATCAGTCCCTTGGATTCTTTGTTTGGAAGAGTCAAATTTTTTTCTTTTCTTCATCAACGTTTTCTCGCACACTTTAGAATGTTTTGAGAGTGCCTCAGGACGGAAAGTTCGGTTGCAGGAACCACAAGGTAGTAAAATGGACGGAGTATCTATGTTATCTGTGGAAAGAAGTGTAATTATTGTATATTAAATTGTGGCCAAGATGTCATTTGTCATGGCTGGCAAACTTGTTCAAATCCAAAATCTCTTTATTCATGCGCAGTACAAGTTATTATACAATGAATAGCGTGAAATAAATATAAAGATACATTATGCCATACTTATCCATAGAGAATTATCATTGTTACAAAACTAATACTAAGCTTAAGAAGAATAAACAAAACAAAAGTAAATCATCATTTTAAATTATAATTTATGTTATATCTCCTAAATTCCAAAATGCATCCAAAGAATACAAAAACAATGAAAGGAGATAATTCTTCAGTTTGTTTTTTAACATCAAAACTAAGTTACTTTATTTTTATTTTAGGTAGGCTAAATTAATTAAGAATTTTATCCAAATGAAACTACATTTCTTCTAAAAACTTTAATTTATGTTGTTCAGCCTGCCTAGTATACCTTAATTGAATATATTTGTACTATCAGTTCATTTGAACCAAAATTTAGTTTTTAATTCAAGACGTCTTCAGGGGATCTTTTAATAGCTTTATAAATTTTAAGACTCTCTAAGATGTTCATGAGGGGGCTTTTACTGCATTTCAAATATTTTATTTTATAGAATCAAAAGCATTGACATCAGAGCTACTACAAGTCTTTATCAGCTGACGTATCCCCTCCCCCAAGACCAATGTCACCAACGGGGCATTGGATAGTTCTGTCGTGTCCGCCGTGAAATCTGCGTCGGTTTGTCCCGTGTTCAATGTGGCCGGCCTAAAGTCTTAAATGTTTTGTAATTTGTGTTTTTTTAATTGTAAACTTTATGTGTCGACCTGTATTTATATATTGATGAAGACTTCTGTCGGACTTTTGACAAAATTCAACATGATGTTTTAAAGGATTTGATAATGGGTCTTTGTACCCAAAACTAGTCATCCATAGACTAAGATAAGACTGAACACAGACCAAGGTACGTAACCTATTATATATTCGAATATCAGGACTCTTGGTGGCAGAGATGTTTAAATTTGTATGTTCAACAAAAGGTAAAGTATCGCTTTGATAGTGTAATTCAAAATTTTGATTCTCTCTATTTTGGATTCTCCCATGCCAGATTTTCATCCATGATTAAACCTAAAAATGTTGAGTGGTCTAATTGGGTCAATACATGATTATCAACAAATATTGTAGGCTTTATTTTGTTCCTAGTTTGTTTTGTTGAAAATGATACAAAATTGGATTTTTCTGAATTTAGAAGGAGATTCTTGCTATCTAAAAAGTCTTTAATTAATGATAAGCCAATATGGGATGATATTTCAATATTATTTTCAGTGTCAGCAGAGACAACCACATTTGTGTCATTTGCATAAAGACATATTTTTGTATCTCTGCCCCAAGTGACTTCTGGTAGACCCTTCAGGTAACAAAGGAACATTAAGGGACCTAAAATCGATTCCTGAGGGACTCCATATTGCACTGTTAATGGGCGAGAGGTACAAGTTTCTTTATACTTAAACTTTAAAGTTTCACGATAGTAATTAATTTCCACAAATTGTTTTCTGCCGGTAAGATATGATTTTAAAACCATGCTAATTCAGTGTTTTTTACTCCGAGTGAGCAGAGCATATCTAATAGTTTAGAATGCTCTACACTATCAAAAGCTCTTGTCAGATCTGGAAAAATTCCAATTACCTTCTCCCCCCTGTCAATAGAGTCAATGATCGACTCTACAAACTCGATACCAGCTGTTATAGTAGACTTTTTAGATCTGAAACCATGTTGTTGTTTGTCAAGAAGATTATTTGTTTCCAGATAATTTGAAAACTGAATAAACACAACTTGTTCTAAGATTTTAGAGAATACCGGAAGCAATAATATTGGTCTATAGCATCTAATGTCTTCTGGATCTCCCTTTTTGAGAACAGGAATAACTCTGGCTGTTTTAAGACTCTCAGGGAATACTCCTGATATGAGGGAATGGTTGATTACATGAGTTAGAGGACCAACAATGTAGGGCAGGGCAGCCTTAATGATTGTAATGGGAATTTCATCCTTACCCGTAGATAATTTGTTATCAAAGGATAATATAATTTTTTTAATACACTGTTTCCTTACGGTTTTAAAACTGAAGGTGATATCTGGATGTTCATTGCCAATATTATAGTTTGTAGAATTTGTTGCAGTGTTAGGAGTTACCAATTCTTTTACCGCATGGACAAAAAAGTCATTAAAAGTTTCACATATGACTTCTGGATCTGTCAAGTAGATTCCATTGTGTAATAATTTAATATTTGCATTTGAATGGGACCTAGAAGTTTTACCAACTTCTGATCTAATCAAGTTCCAAGTGGTTTTGCTTTTATTTTTAGATTTAAGGATTTTATTATCAAAATACTGTCTTTTGCTGTTTATTACATTATTTTTAAGTTCTTTTTTCTCAGACTTTATCAACATTTTTAGATTTTCATCTTTGTTTAATCTAAACTGAGACTCTAAGTTAATTATTTCTGCCTGTTTATTTTTATTTCCTCACTGATTTGGTCCATGTTCCCTTTCAGTTGTATACAATTTTGGGAAGTTTATGTCAAATTGGTGTTTGAAATTATTAAAAAATGTATTATATTTAAGATCGACAGTGGATTGAAAAACCTGAAACCAGGACTCGGAACCCAAACCCCTACAGAATGATTCTGTGTTACAAAGATTGAACTTGCGCACTTGTTTCCTAGTTAACCTATTTTTTTTTTTTATTTTCATTGTTCAACTCTAACAGCTGGCCATCATGATCAGAGATATGTGTGATTAGACCAGTTACTCTGTGATCCATCCAGGCCAGGCGATACTTGATTTATGAACTCTGAGACAGCGATTGTTGTGTTTTTTCCAGATCTAGATCCAAATTGGCATTTGCACAGCACTCAATCGCTAGGACCTCTGATTGAAATACTGTTGCTGTGCTTCCCAGGGATGAGGAAATGTTGGTTTTGTTGCCATACACCCCCAACCCCGATCTCTCATCCTTTCGGCTTCCATCTGTGTAGTACACCAAGCATGCTCTGTCCCTCTTAAAGTTGCACTATTGCCAGTTATATCTTTCTCCTACTCGGACAACTTGGTAAGGAATCTTGAAGTCATATTCCTTTGTGATGAGGTCTGGCATTATTTAATTCCATGTCCTTACTTGGGAAGTCCCTTAGAATGGACAGGTGACCAGTCAGCCTCTGAAGATTCAACTCACCTCTGCTTCCCATTTTGAGGGCAGCAGTGGCTGAACGTTTCTTAACTTCCAGCCCTAGTGGAAGCATGTGGAGTATTGCCTCCATTGTAGCTATGGGACAGGATTTCATCGTCCCGCAGATCCCCGTACACGCAAGCCTTTGCAGCTGCTGCAGTTTCCTGACAGCTACTGTCTGCTCTGCCTTTAGCCACCACACTAAAGCTGCGTATTGGTTTGACTATGGCCTCATAGGTCCAACGTATCAGTCTGGGACTTAGTCCCCATTTCTTGCCAAAGGTTCTTCTGCATGCTCCAAAACCTCCTGTGCCTTTTGCAAGAACATAAAGTGCTCCAGGTAAGTTTCTGGTCCAGGTAAACTTCAAGGTATTTTGTTTCCTTCACTAACTTCACTCTTTTCCCCTGAATTTTGGGGGGAGTTAGATTTGCTTTCCTTCTTGTAAAGGAGATTAGCCTAGCTCCGTTTTGTCCGGGTAAATAGTGAGGCCCTCTTTTGAGCACCATCCCACGATGAAGCTCACAGCTGTCTGGGTGAGGTTTTCCACAGTGTTGTCTGCAAAGGCTTGGAGGTCCATGTCTCTCCAGTCTGCCTCTCTCAAAAGATCATTCACCACTAAAGCCCACAACAATGGTGAGATGACTCCTCCTTGGGGGCAACCTTGGCGTGTTACGATTGCTGAAGAGTAGCTGCCTAAATCAGCTGTCACTTCCCTACTGTTGAATAGAGCCATAATCCAAGCTGCTATGTCGGGGGGATGCCCCTGCTTCTGACTGCTGCATCTATGGAGTTATAGCTCACATTATCAAAGGCACCCTGTGTGTCCATGGAAACCTGCTAGGAATTCCTGGTGCCCTTGGGTATCTTCAACCTTTGCCACTAGGGTGCTAAGGGCCGTTGTTGTTGATTTGCCCTTCACAAACGCATGTTGACTCGCACTAAGGGGACTAATTTCTAAGTAAATGTCCCTTATGTGGCGGTTGATTACTTTTTCCATAGTCTTTAACATGAAAGAGGACAGGCATATAGGCCTGTAGGACTTTGGCTGGGCTGGGTCTCTACCTTTTTTCAGGAGAAATACCGCCCTTGATTCCCTCCAACAAAATCTTGCCATCCTAGGCAAGAACCTGAGGAGGGGAAAAATAGAAATCCTCTCAGATAGCCAAGCTGCATTAAAGGCGCTGGGGTCATGTGTGACAGAGGCACTTAAACAGTAAAGGGGTGCAAAAACACCCTCAAAAAGCTAGCTAAGTGGAACCTAGTCAAACTAGCTTAGGTCCCTGGACACTTGGCCTTTTTGTAGCAAACGTAGGCTCGGAACCAACTTTCTTAAGCAGGATAGGTCAATCAGTAATCGATCTTACCCTGTGTTCAGCGGGTTCAACAGGATTATTGACTGGTCACTGGTCAGTGTCTCTTGAGCCATCCCTGTCTGATCATAGGCATATTGTCTTCAGGTTGGGGAATTTTTCCATATAACGCAGTACGAAAGGCTAAAAGGCTTTCATGGATACATGGAATAATTTTTGTGGTAATTTAGAAGGTATTAAAGACACTTCTAGAATACATAAGGTTCTTGTTAGAGACAGGAATGTTACTCTTGGTGCCGTTGAAGGACTGGGTGGTGCAACGGCTTTTGAACCTACTGAAATAGGCCTACTTAAGGTTATGGCAAAAACTCATTTCCCTGGTTGTATTGTTTTTGAAGTGCAGCAGGAGGAGGTGAGTTCTGAGCGGCCAAATCTGGGCGGTCATACCACCCATTCTATGTGGAGCACTGCTTGCCGCATAGTCACCTTCAGCAAGGTAAGATGGGCTAATATATTACGACCCTTCAAATCGCCGGGTCCTGATGAGGTAAGACCTGTTTGCTTACAGGAAGGTATAGAAACCCACTCTGTAAACTTTTCAGAGCAAGCTTAGCCTTGTAGGACACATTCCCTCAGGGTGGTGTAATTCTCACATTGCATTTATTCCAAAACCAAGGGGAGGGGTTGGTTACACTGATATAAGGGAGTATTATAGGGGAGTAGTTACACTGATCCTAAGTCATTTAGACCCATTTTTCTATCTTCTTTCTTTCTCAAGATCCTAGAAAAATTGATCTTAAGATATATGATGGATACAGCTCTCAGGACAAATCCTATTCATAACAATCAGCATGCGTACGTCGCAGGAAGATCATGTGAGACTGCGCTGCACCAACTTGTAAGCAAGATTGAGAAGGCTCTAGAGAGAAGTGAGAGGTCCTGGGTGCCTTTCTCGATATTCAGGGTGCTTTTGATAACACTGGCACCCCAGCAATTCTTAATGCGGTGAGAGCTAGAGGATTTTACGGTATCGTATGTACGTGGACTGAATCCTTGCTTCACAGTAGGAAGGTCGGGCTCTCACTCCATAATGACACGATCTAGGCAAGAATACCTCGAGGTTGCCCCCAGGGTGGGGTTCTCTCTCCCCTCCTTTGGAATTTGGTAGCAGACGACCTTATAAGGACCCTCAATGAAAGCGGGGTTTTCGCCTTAGGTTACGCTGATGATGTTGCAATCCTTGTGGTTGGAAAGTTCCAAGGAACCATAACTGGTCTTATGAATTCAAATTCAAATTATCTTTATTTATAGTAGGCCTATGTACAAAACGTACAATAGTGTCAAGCTTATTATTACTATGTAAAAATACTTTAAAACCTAAACAAAAAATACAGAAAATAAAATTATAGCTATAATATACATTCATAAAAAGTTCATCTAGCCTATTGAGTAGATGGGTTTTTCTATCAAAAATTCTTTAAGTTTTTGTCTAAAGGTTTTATTATCCTTAATATCTTTTATTTAATTTGGTATCTTTAAAAACTTTACACCGGCATATGAGGGCTTATTTTTATACATTTATAAGTTGTGTTTCGGTAGAACTATATTATTTTTGTTTCTAGTGTTGTATTGATGGGTTTCACAATGTGTTTTAAATTTTTCCTGGTTATTTTTTACATGTACGATACATTCCAGTGTACAAACTAAAGACAGTTAATAGTTTCAAATAGACAAAATGTTGATTTACAGACTCATTATAATCTAGATTTAACATTATTCTTATTGCCTTTTTCTGTAAAACAAGTATCTTATCTAAATTTTTCTGGGAAGTGCCTCCATACACTACTATTGCGTAAGATATATGTGATTGGATATGGGAATGAAAAACTATTTTTAATGTTGCTAGGTCACTTAAATAAAACATTCTTTTCAAGGCATAGATCCCAGAATTTACCTTACGCACAATGCTTCCTACATGATTATCCCACCTAAGACATTCATCAATATGGATAACCTAAAAATTTTGTACAAACAATTTGATTTATTGTGTTGTTGTCAATAAAAATATGAGGGCTACACTTGTTTCGGTTCTGCTTGGTGCTGAAAGAAATAAAATTAGTTTTTTGTGAATTTAGCATTAATCGATTGTTTACTAAAAATTCTTGGATTTGTGATAATTCTATATGAGCTGCTACTTCCAAATCAATCTGACAATTAGCAGTATACAATAAGATTAGAATCGTCAGCATACTGCACGAGTTTAGAATTAATGAACAGAGCTTTAAGGGTGGTGGACCGTTGGTGTCAGGAAGTTGGGCTTTCCATTAATCCCATTAAAGTTGTAATCGTACCCTTCACAAGAAGGAGGAAACTGGATGGGATCGGCCCACTAATACTGCAGGGCACTGAAATAGAGCTGCAGAATCAGGTGAAGTATCTAGGTGTAATTTTGGACAGGTCACTTTACTGGGGACCTCATCTTCAAAAAGTTATTGAACGTGATAAGTGGTCCCTTATGGCATGCAGGCGGATGGTAGGTGGAACATGGGAGTTACAGCCCAGACTTTTGCACTGGCTGTATGTATCTGTTGTCCGACCCGCCCTTACATATGGTCTGCTTGTGTGGTGGCCAAAGATGGAATCTACTGCAGCTGTCAAAGCTTTAGCAGGAGTTCAGAGGCTTGCTCTTATAATGATAACTGGGGCAGTAAGTAGCGCTGTCCTGGAGCAGCTCTAGAGTGTCTGCTTGATATGCTACCCATCGACATTTTCATCAAGGCGGTACCGGTAGCAAGAAAAACAGCCCAACGCCTCAGATGCAAAAACTTATGGATAACCACAGGAAACAATAAAGGGCACTTCAAAATTGTTTGAGGTGGTACACAATGATGAAATGGACCTTCCTTCAGATCACATGTCCAAAAAATACTCCTTTGGAAAGCCTTTCAAAGTACTAATACCAGATAGGAAGGATTGGTCTGGCGGAAAAGGGCCCATCTTATCTTACCTTACAGGGGCAGGTCGAGACCTTTAAGCACATCATCCAAAATCGAATTATTGCGCACCCCAGTTAATTGTTTTCTTGTTGACCTTACAAGTTAAAACTAGGCCTACAATGAATGCCTGTAGTTTCCCAATAAGTTCATCCTCGGGAAGATATCTTCCTCTAGCCAGATTCCCACGAGTTAAAATGATTCTAGCATCAGAGAGCTCGTTACAATCAAAGAGTAGGTGATCGGCTGTCTCTTCTGACCTATCACAGTGCCTACAGATCGGTTCACCATCATATAAGTCATAACCTAACACAACCTCACACTTAATTTTCAAAAATTCCATTTAATGACAGAAAAGACATGTGAGGAAGATAGGTCGGACTTTAAATGCGGATTCGTATCTGTATTAAGTCCTTTGAAGATAGGTTAGATTAGGTAAGTTAAAGTTTAGGTTATAATGAAACGACTCATTAATTTACGCTAGGTACCTCCGGACTGTTTTGGCACAATTGAAATAGTGGGTGAAACTCAATGAAATAACAATATCAAAAATTCAATGCAAAAACAGTCTGCAGGTAACGTCAATTAATGAGTTGGTTCATTATAACCTATTGGTAGCCTACTTTACCTTCCTAATCTAACCTAACTTCAAAACAATTAATACAGTAACAAATCACGGCCGCATTTAACTCCCAGGCCGCGGCCTGGTAGAATTGGCAACGTCGCGAGTAGCCTAGTGTTGATTAGTGTTAGACGTCTCGAATAACATAATATGGCAGATAGGTGATATCAGCCCATTAACTTGCATTTTGTTAATTTAAATTTAAATTAATGAACATAGGCCTAAATATATTAATATATTGAAAATTACAGAATTGAAAACCAAAACAATATGAATTGAAAATCTATATCTGTAGGCTACATTAAAAGCAGAGTCAATATTTTCATAGTCCAGTAACCAAGCTTTCGTAAATACACAAATATCATTAGCTTCTTCCAAATAAAACAGCTGTTACAACCCTACTTGCGACGTTGCCACTTCGAAGGCCGCCTGGAGTTAAAGGTGGCCGTGCACGAATTTGCATAAAACCCGACCTACCTTCACCAAATGCCTAAATAAGAGCTGATTATTAAGTTTCAAAACAAATTGATTTCATTCCGCATTAAGTCGAGTACAAACAGCTGTTTGCTCTCCTTACCCAGTCCTCAGCCTACATACGGACCCGTCCAGACCACGCCATATTACCATAGTACCGCTAAATGAACCTTAGATTAGTAATTTTAACCGATTGTAACGTTTTACAGCCACTTAGGAATCTCTCAGACAAAAACTGATTGCATGTTTGGATTCAGCGTGAAAAAATTTGTATGTAGACATCTAAAAATTACATCATATCCCAATGTAGACATATTAAATAATTGCCAAGAAACCTTGTGGAATCAATGGGTGCAAACTATCACGTACCATCGCCTTCTGCATACTGACAGTGACTTGAAAAAAGCCCAAGAGATCAGCCAGGACAGAGTAGGCCTACAGAAAACTTTCAGGCAAGAAGGTACCAATCATAAGGCCAATGTTAATTTTTTTTAATTTTCAAATGAGTTGTGTAGCGAAATATGAGTTTTCCAGAGATAGTGATTTTCACCAATCACGTTTTTAGGGTTTTAACTTAACTTAAGTCCCTTATTCCAAAATTTAGTCAAAAATATTTTTACCACACTCAATGTGTTAAGGCATGTTAACTTAGCCTACTAGGCCTAATAATAAGCTTATACTTTTAATACTTTTCAATGAAATGGCACCAAGGTAGGTAGACCTACTGTAAGCAAGGCTGAATCAAATTTCTGCACAAAAATTTAAGGTACAAGGCTGAACCTGAGTAATTATGAAAGCTCTTGGCCAAGATTCCTTTTTTAGAGGTTAATGTTATGCCAATATGAGTAGGATGGATTGAACCTCATCCCACCTCATCTCCCACGACATAAAATAGCTTGCTTAGTAGTGAATCACTTCAAAACTATTCAAAAATTTGTATGGTTATTAATATAATGTGTATAATGACTTAAGAGAGTAAGATTATCAACATAACTGGGATTAAAGCAATTTAAAAACTAAATGTCAAAAATAACAAGTACACCAAGGCCAGCAACCCACACTGATCCGATCTAGTTTGTTTGTACAGTAAAATATAAATTTCTTTCAAAGCTTTTATTGAAGAATTATTGAGATAAATGCCGCAACTTGTTTTGAAGAAATAGGCTAACAATCTTATGGAGATTAACAACCTTAAAATTTATTAAAATAGTACAATTTACTCACCTTCCAGCACGTCAGCCATTTCTGTTGTTATTGGCAACGACGAAGCAGGCTGGCTGGTCACCATTCACATTCACCAATCGAATCATCTGTAGTTGATGCGGTAAAATTCCCTTTACAGTGAGGATAAAACTAGATTTCCCTCTTTATCAAGATGTGTATATCTGTAAGTACTAGGTGTACAATGCAGTTGTTGAAACACAAAATGCAGTAGACTTTGATATGCCCGATGTCGTCCAAACAGATTTATGAAATGCTACCCATGGTATGCTATTACGATTTTTAAAACGCTTCCTTAAGGCCTTTTCACACCGGCGTACTGGACGTACTGTACGTTTGGTACGTTTTTTTTTCAACAAATCGCTGTCCATGTTATCATATGGGCTCGTTCACACCGCGCGTACAGAACGTACTGTACGTACAGTACGTACGCGATGGTTTTGTGAGAATCGCTCGGAAAGCGATTTTTCTAAATCGTACGAGGCGTACGCGAGCTCGCGCATGCGCAGTGGTCACACCAAAACCACGTGCTCAGCCAGTGTACTTGTCTGGCTGCAAACGAACAAGTGTACGTTTTGGAAGTTTCTGTGCGGTGTGAAAGGACCGCGTACAGTACGAACTGGCCGTACCAAACGTACAGTACGTCCAGTACGCCGGTGTGAAAAGGCCTTTTCACTGTAAGAGACTTTTTTTTTGCTCGTATCTACGCCAGTGGCATTTTTGTAATGAGGTAATTTCAAACACTTTTAAGGGAAAGCGGTCCAAACCCATTAAAGTTTTGTTGACTTGAAGAGTAAGCCTTTCAAAAAGACCATCCTTAGCGCATTGGTGAAAAGGCCGTTGTACTCGTTGGCCGACTTGAAGAGCCACTCTTTCCATCCTGATGAATATTCAAACTATAGTCAGGTTGGGTAGCAGGAAAATATTTCAGTTCTGGCGGAGAGGCTGCAATTTTAGGTGGTTATATGGTTATAACTTTGTGGCATGGCGGTTTGGATTAATTAGGGCTAATTTACCTTATTACCTTATTACCGTAGTAGTGGGGTCGTATAGCTGCATATAATGGCAGAATATTTCAGTTCTGGCGGAGAGGCTGCAATTTTAGGTGGTTATAGTATACAAGTTTCTGAACCTAAAACCGCCCAGACCCCAAGTTTTAAGGACCTTGGTCGTCCGTAATGACGTCATCAAAATGGTGGCCGTAAGAGGATGCTGGGTCCCTATTCGACTGTAGGTCCCGGGTTCGAATCCCGCTGATAGCATTAACTTTTTGTCCAAGATTTTTTTTATTATCAGCAAGTTTGGTTGGTTTGGTTTGGTTATTACAGTTTAATTTTATAATTAAGTCACTATAAAATTTTAATTGAGCAATTTCTAGTTTCATTTAATAAACAGAATTATTTTTCCGACTACTTAACTCTTGTTATATTATTTCTTTATCAGCAAGTTTGGTTTGTTCGGTTAGGTTATGATAGTTTAATTTTATAATTAAAAAATAGTAAAATTAAATTTGAGGCATTTATAATTTTATTTTATGAGCAGAACTATTTTTGCGATTAGTAAACCTTCATTGCCAAAGTGCTCTCTACTACAGCGCTGTTCACGGAGGAATTTTGAACTAAATGCCTCATTTGTACCTCCCCTAAGTCAGACCCTCGAATGACTAATACAGAATGTTGTGTTCATTCAAACCTACAAAAAAGTTGGTGAAAGTTAACATCTGCTTTTAAATTAGATTTATTTGTAAACATTGTAGTTCCAAAATTCTGACATTGATAAGCGTCTAGGCAGCCATTGCAACTCCGAGGATCGTGGATCAGATCGGAAAACCCCCCACCCCCACCACCGCACCATGCCGATGCGTAACGTCAACCATTACCATTACCGCAACAATACGGGGCTGAGGCTGAGTCATAAGCCTTTGTGGTGTAGTGGATAGCGTGCCGGGCAATCTTTATTTGAAGGTGCCGGGTTCGAATCCCGCTGGTAGTCTTGACAGCAACAGTGATAGAGATAACAATTTTCCGCGAACAGTTAGGCTATGCTGATGCGCCGGTATGATTCGGAAGCGTACGACATGGTGCGGTAGCCGGTAGTGGGGGGTGTTCTGTTCCACGATCCTCGGAGTTGCAGTGTTGCAGTTAGTTGCACTGGATGCCTAGTCGACGCCAGTCGACGCTTGTCTGACATTGGACCCCTTAAAACCCTCTGGGGTGGAGACCACGTCCATGGCACTGGCCCGGCAGGGGGGTAGCGTATTTTTATCCCCCTGCAATTTTACCCCCTGGGCAAACGTGACGTCACAAACCAGGGGGTAAAATTCCGGCCGCGTTTTGAGTTTCGCGACATCAACTTGATGGATTAAACGTGGAATTAAACTAAACATATATTTTCACGGTTGTGAATTTAATCAGAACACATCAAATTATAAAAACCTAGAGTGTACGGCCCGGATTTTTACCCCCGGAATTTTACCCCCTGGCCAGATATATAAATTTAGTGAGAATGATTAATTATCTTCATTCAGTTTTAATTTAATAGTAAACATTTTTTTTATCAAGTAGCCTATCTTAATTTATTTGTAACATAAACTAATCAAACAGGTTTTTGATTTTAATTTTGAGATTCGAGTATCAGGATTCGATCTTTGAAGCCAACTGTTGATTAATATGACATATAAACAAACATCAGAATGGTATGTAATTGATTCGAAGATTTCTTTAACGATTGATTATGCAACCGTGGTAAAATAATGTTTTTCGTTTCCCGAACATCAAAATTAAACAGGTATCAGGATTCGATCTTCAAAGCCAACTGTTGGTTAATATGATCAAAATGAAACAGCGAATTCAGTTTACTTAGTTGAGATTCTAAAATCGGCCAGGAGGTAAAATTCTAGGGGTAAAAATCCGGCCCGTACATCTTCAGTTGTGTAAACGCAAGTTATATGGACAAAAGGTAAAATTCCGGGTTTTATTGCTAATCTAATTAATCACGCTATGTCTATTTTCATAAGACTTCCAAATCCGCGGAGGTAAAATTCCGCCCGCGAACAAACTTTTGAGCACTCAGGTTACTACGTCATAGTGACGTAAGCTTTGGCCAGGGGGTAAAATTCCAGAGGGATAAAATTTTGGCGACCCCAATCAATGGATTTTTTATCTCCCTGGAATTTTACCCCTGAGCAAAACTGACGTCACAAACCAGGCGGTAAAATTCCGGCCGCGGACTTTTAAGTTGCACAACATCAGTTCGATGGATTAAAGCTGGAATTAAACGTATTCACAGTTGTGAATTTAATCAGATCACATCAAATTATAAAAAAATAGAGTGTACGGCCCGGAATTTTACTATATATAGAAATAAGTGAGAATGATTAATTTTCCTCTCTCAGTTTTCATTTAGGCTAATAATAAAAAAAATATTATTAAGTTGCTTATCTTAACTTATTTGTAACCTTAACTAATCAAACAGGTTTTGAATTTTAATTTTAATTTTTCGATTTTCGGGATTAGATTTTTGGGGCCAACTGTTTATACATTTGGGTTTCCTTGCATCAGGCAACACAACAATTAATTGTTCGAGTACTTTTTACCGGATGCCTACAACTACATTTTATAACATTTATTTCGATGCCCTTCTCAGTACAAACCATAAATAGTTCATGGTTTGTGCCTGAAGAAACAAAAAGACATATTGTCTTATTTTATAATCACTATGAGAGTCTTGTTATCAAGTTTCTACTGTATGTATCATTGTGGGAGGGATTACGTGCCGGAAGCGACCGTGCCAGAAGCGACCCAGCAAAAATCGTGCCAGAAGCGACCCTGGTAGTAGTGTGAGTGCCACTAGCGACCCATTGTTTGATAAAGGATTTTACAATGTTTTGTTCAAATCGGTGTTCATGGCATTTAAACAAATCCTATTCTTGTTATAGTAATACTAGATGAAACCCGTCGAAATCGACGGTTACTTTCAAGGCTTACGCTAACTCATCTAACTGCGATAAACTGAGTGAAATTATACATATTTTGAGCATTTAGCATTGTTTAAAGATTAATAAGTGTAAAAACAATAATGATATTAATTGCGTTAGTTACCAAATATGGTTGATCATTCAGTGAATATAGTAGTTTAAGCAACGATTGCGTAAAGATAGTGTTAACGACACGAGTAGAAAATTTAAGGTACGAGCCTTGGCGAGTGCTTTAAAAACTTCTACGAGTGTCGTTAACACTATTTACGCGAGTTGCGTACACTACTTTACCTACGACGGTGTTTTAATTACTAAAAGTCACTACTCATAACTTCTGAGAGTGGTTATGTTTTTGTTTATAACCTCTAATTGTCACTGATATTGATGCAACGAAACATTGTATCAAATACTAATTGCACCAATCAACAATTAAATTGGCCTGAACAGCTGATTAGTTGAATTTCGAATCATTACAATTTTGCTTCTCCTCTCTCAATCCTTGAACCTCATTGGTTCGTTACCCGTGTTGTTATGAGTAAAACTATGCTGTTATGAATGTAAACAATGCTGTTATGAGATACTTTTCAATTCTAAGAACTGTACTGAAACGGCTACTTTAAAAAACGGTCGTAGGTAAAAATATTTCCCATACCGTACGTCATCGGAGATAGTATGTTATGTGGTATCTCTTCCTTTGGAAGAACCTTTAAATAGTATTTAAATAGTATTGGTGGATCTTTTGAGGTTACACACTTTCGTGATTTCATCAGTGTAATGCAGAATAATCTATGATTTTATTTTAAAAAATCTGTTTGTTGGGAAGACACGTTCTAACCTCAAAGGGAGGTATATACGTTTTAATCGCATGGGAACCTCTCAAAAGATCTAAATAAAACTTCACATGTAGGTAGTTTATCAAATATAATCAAAATAATGTCTATTTCAGTAAGTATAATACTATGTTACAATACTTTGTCAGTACAATTTTTTTTATTATGCCATAGTTATGTGATAATATACTGACATAGACAATAAATATGAAATCCCTCTCACATAGGCTACTAC